TTTTCATTTTTCGAATTTGAAAAGAAGGACAATGTGGTTCTTGAGTAGTTTTGGGTTTTCTCGGTAAAAGAGTGGAGACCCGCTAATTTTTATGACATCAACTTATACAAGAGTTGATGACGCATAGGGAATCATACATGTCGCTATACGAGAAACAAGAAACTTACGATGCAATTCTCAAAGCTCTTGTTCCTTGTGTTAGCGGCCTAACACCGCTTGAAATAAATAGGAAGTTTTACGGATGTGCATATCCGATAAAACCCTTATTTTGTAAAACATAGGGCGTCATCGGATATGTATCTCTGAAATATGCCACGATGTCTGGATAATGTTTCTAAGGTCCAAATTATTCTGAAACTTGTATAAATAAATGGTCTCTCATACAGTGTTCTTTATTAAAACACAACACATCAGAATGAATACATATCCCCATCTTTCATTTGTGTATTTCAATGGCGCAAAACCCTACTTCAATTTAGGATCTCCGAGGACATACCTTTCATCAATCTAAAATTCAAATTGAATAATCTCCTGTGATATCCATAAAATTGAAGAGTTGTCAAACTCGAGTATCGTTGACCAATAAATGACGACGTAGAGAAGATATGGTTCACCAAGCTTGAACTGAAGACAAATGAAAAATTAAAGGTTATGTAGAGTACATTTTACCATTACTCATCAAAGGATCCGACTCAAGTGGATGCAAAGATACAAGACCGACCAAAAATATTTTAAAGATGTTGCAACTTCCTAAACCACCCGTTTGTAATGAAATGTAATGTTTAATTTATGTTATCGGTTATCTATGTAATGTTAAGTATTTGAATGTTAATTTGTGTTATTTTTTCAACATTTTGCAATTGTTTCTACCTTGACCTAATAAAACATATTTCAGAAGATGCATCTTCATAAAACTCACTAAATTTTAAATTAAAGGTTATTACAAATATGCATTTTTATACTCACCTTAATATAAATACAAAAATTCAGATTAAATTTTAACAAAATAAAAGTCAAATGTGTAAAAAAATGCGTTCATGCATATATATAAATATTAATGGTAATTGTGATTTTTCAGCATTGTGTGAAATGGTATTGAGACTACTTCCCAAACAAAAACTCACAAGCTCCTCCTTTCTTCCTTGCCAGGTGGATCACATCACGTGCCCCTGCCTCTGCGTGTCACTATGCAATAAATAAAAAAAATTGAACAATAAATGATAGAGTAATTCCTAACAACGAACACACTTTACTTCAGTTCCAGAATTTTTTACTCATATGCCACAAGCTGAAATGGAATTAACCAAATTGCCACAAGCTGAAAAAAAATTTCACAAATGCCACTACTTCTTTAAGGGTTCGTCCTATGGTTGGACGACCCACTGAAAGTCTTTTGGGCGCAGCATGGGTTCGGCCAATGGATGGCCGACCCTGCTCTATGTCTTTTTTTTTTTTTTTTTTTTTTTAATTTCAGAATTAAAATGAGTTTTTTTTTATTATTTTTTGTTTTTAATAGATTTTTTTATATTTAAATGATTTAAATAATATTATATAATAATAATAAATAATTTAATTATTTTAAAAATAATTTAATATAAATAATATAAATTTTACATTATATAATTAATTATTAAATATTAATAATTGTTTTTTACATTATATAATTAAGTATTAAATATTAATAATTGTTTTTTACATTATCTAATTAATTGTTTTTTATATATTAAAATTAGTTAAATGATATTTTATATTACCTAATAAGTAATTTAATTATTTCAAATTATTTTTTAATATTTTTATATATACAAAATGATAAATAATTATATAAAATAATAAATTATATAATTAATTGTTTAACTAAATAATTAGATAAAATAAAAAAAGATATTTTATTAATATTGATGAGTGGAGAAAATACATCATATTTATCTACGCAAATGACCGCCAGTTCCACACAATGTACTCTTTTTCACACGTTTCCCCCTGCCTAACTCTTGAGTTTGCCGTATTGGAGGTGATGTTGGAGGTGATGGGGTAGAGTCGGAAGTCAACTCTTCATTTTCAGGTTGACGTGATGTATCAAGCATGTCCACATCAGTAACCGAAAAACCTGGCCATTCCATGAGTTGATCATCCGTTAGGGTAAAGTTAGGGGCTGACTGGAATGGTTGGGTGAAAGTGGTTGGAGGGTTTTGTTGGATGGGAGGGTAATAAACATTGTCGGTGCGACCGGATGAACTTGGATGAGACATTGAAGGGTTAAATGTTTGGTGTTGTGGTTGGGGGTAAGAGAAATCAAAATTAGGCTGAGGGATCGGAGTGAATTGAAAAGAAGGTTGAAATGTGGCTTGTTCCTGATATTGTTGTCGATAGTAGTAGTTTGGTTGTGGGGTTGGGGTGTACGGTGTTGGTTGTTGAGAGGAGGTGGCAAAGAATGTAGTATGAGTTCGTTGATATGTTGGTTGGGGTTGTGGTTGTGTTGGTTGTTGAGAGGAGGCGGCAAAGAATGTTGGCTGGTTGAATGAAGATGTCTGTGTTTCAAATTGTGAAGGGTTCACCTGAGGCATTTCTTGAGGCATGGGCGAAGAGGATCTTTGTTGTGATGAAGACGTTGCATACTGACGGGGGTCCTCTAGGAACTGACCTTGAGAAGCGTGCATAAATGGAATGGATAAAAACCATTGCATATATTCAGCACTATGAACACAGTTACCGTTAACCATGTTACCTCGTAGGGTCAAATTTGTTCTGTTTCTCCACTCGTTATTTTCTTCTTTATTTATATTGCGCCAATGATCTCCCCATGTATTAGGCATATCAGTCTCATGTTGTTGACGTAGACATCTAGGCTGAGGAGGGATATCTTGTTGAAATCCAAACTGCAATTTTACCCTATCAGCCTGATGCATTTCAACGATATGGAAACTGATAATTGATGTTGTAGCGCTCCAAATCTGGCTATCTTGAAGGACGCATTCGGGGTAGCTTGGGTATGGCCTCCAAATAAACTGTTACATAAAATATAAGTGTTAGAGTTTTAATACAATGGGTGACACATATTTAGAGAATGTTGCATTAACAAACTTACATCGTTAGCCCTTAATCTGTCTAGTGCGAATCTAAATCCTCGGACGTAGTGGCGAGGATTATTTTGATAAGCCATGCCTCTTCGAACAAATCTTGCAATGTTAAAAAAAAAAAAAATAATTTAGGGATGGAAACAAAAAGAAAATAAATGATAAAGAAAATGTAAACAAAATTTACCTTGTTGCATAAGGATGGTGTGCAGTGGCGGGAGACTCTGGAGCTATTGGATGGTGTGCAGTGGCGGGAGACTCAGACATATTGCGCAAAACTTCATGCGTGAGTTCAGAAACAAAGCACTACGAAAAACAGTTGTCAACATGGGTATGTTTACATCTTCACAAGTTTTATTGATAATTTTTTGATCATTTTGTTTTACTAATCATTTTGTTTAATTATTTTCAGGATATGCACTAACAGAGGCAACATTTAACTACTACAGGGGCGAATTACGAAGAACAGATAGAGCAGCTTTGGAGTGGATTGACAATATTCCCAGAGCGAAGTGGTCGAGGGCGTTTGACGGAGGACAGCGGTGGGGACACATGACCACAAATTTAGCCGAATCTATGAACTCGGTACTTAAGGCTACCCGAAACCTTCCTATTACAGCATTGGTCAAGTCAACGTACTATCGTCTAGGATCGCTGTTTGGAAAACGAGGACACGATTGGACAAAACTGTTGGCATCCGGTCAAACTTTCACGAAAAACTGTATCAAGGGAATGGCCGACGAGGCTATTAAATCTAGCAGTCATAACGTCATTCAATTTGATCGCGAGAGATTCTGTTTTATGGTTGCCGAATGCATTAACCAACGCGATGGCCGACCATTAGGTACTTTTAGCGTTGATCTCAGGAGAGGGTGGTGCGATTGTGGGAGGTTTCAGGCATTTCATTTACCTTGCTCTCATGTAATCGCAGCATGTGCCAGTATACGACAGGACCATAACATGCACATACCAGATGTTTTCAAAGTTCTAAGTGTATTCAAAGTATACAGCCAAAGCTTCCTTGGACTACCCCACCAGCAAAATTGGCCAACATATGAAGGATTCACTCTTTGCCATGACGAGACAATGCGACGAAATAAGAAAGGGCGTCCAAATAGTACAAGAATTACAACTGAAATGGACGATTTTGAGAAAGAAAAGAGAAGATGTGGGATTTGTCGAGAAATCGGTCATATGCGGAGAAAATGTCCAAACGTGGCAGGCCCATCAAATCGGCCAGTCTAAAATTGATGTATTTTTCCCCTGATTAAATATTAATAATATTCTTTTTTTATGATTCAATTTATTCTTTTATATAATTAGTTATATTTATGAATTAATTATATAATGTGAAATATATATTATTAATATTAATATATATTATAATTTAAATAATTTTAATATTTCAAAAATATTATTATTAATATTAATATATAATAACATTTATTAATTTTTTTTAAACAATTAAATAGTTAAATATTACTGAAATATATTTTATAATTAATAAATTATATAATATCATTTATTAAAATATTAAAATAATTAAATTATTTTTTTATTATTATATAATATTATTTAAATCATTTAAATATTAAAAAAACTATTAAAAACAAAAAATAATAAAAAAAAATACATTTTAATTCTGAAATTAAAAAAAAAAAAAAAAAAAAAAGGACCTAGAGCTGGGTCGGCCATCCATTGGCCGAACCCTTGCTGCGTGAAATATGGTTTCATTGGGTCGTCCAATGGTTGGACGAACCCATCCTGGCTTTGTGGCATTCCTGCAAATATTTTCCAACTTGTGGCAATTTGGTTAATTCCATTTCAGCTTGTGGCATATGAGTAAAAAATTCTCAGTTCCAACCTGAATTCTCTACTTTGAACTTTTCCATTTTCCAATTCCAGTTCGATCCGAAACGGAAGATGGCGGAGAAGACAAACGGAGTAGCAGAAGAAGAGAACTTCAACCAAGAGAAGAAAACGACAACGGAAAACCTATACGACGTCGTTCATAGTCTCATATCAGAACCTTCTTACACTGTAAATCGGATCAAAACCTCTCTTTCCCCTTTCATCCCCGAAGCTTCTAGAAACTACACTCGCCGTGTTCTTCTCTGGTCTCGCCAAGGCTCTCCCCTCCGCCCTCTCCTTCTAATTTCGGTTACTCTCTCTCCTCTTTCTCGCTCTATTGTGTTGTGCATTGCAATTGAATTCGTTCAATTATTAGTTCGATTGAATTGAATTTCAGCTGTTGATTGATGTTGTTAATAGTTCTAATTAATGTAAATTTGTGGTTTATTGAACTTTTTGTGTTGCATGTAACATTGATGTTTTGAAAAGTTAGTGCGAGGCTTATAAATTGTGATTGCCGTTACTGGTTGGTCATAAATGCTGCCACGATCAAGGTTTTATAAAAAACTTCCGCGGTTGCTAAAATGCATTTGCGATTTCATACTGATTATGGTCGTCGCAGTGTGAACTAATCACAGTCTGCTATACTGATTATGGTCGTCGCAGTGTGAACTAATCACATTCTGCTATACTGATTATGGTCGTCGCAGTGTGAACTAATCACAGTTTCTTCTTTTAACATAGAAACATTGAATAATAGTAATTGTATTTGTCAATACGGTTTTGTGGCTACGGTTTTTCGCAGTTGCGAACAGTTTTTTAAAACCCTGGTCACTATAGCCATTCAAAATCTTTATATTAGGAATGGTTGTTCTGAGGAGTGAATAGGTTTTTCTGTTATTCATTCTCAATTGGGCAGATAGGATGTTTGTTAGAGATTGATGAGCTGGCATATTACTCATCTTTGCATATAAGCTATTTGGTTGCTCTTTGTTAATCAATGAATGAGAAAGATGTCTATGTGGACCTCTCATTCTGATGATTAGGATTTTATTATTTTATTTACTTTTAATAATAAGTTAGCATAACAGAATTTTTAAATTTGAAATTCAGTACTTTTAGGATAAGGTTTAGGGTTTATAACAAATTTAACTATTAAATAGGATTATTATCATTTTAATTTAAATGATATAGTAATTTTAGGGGAAAATAGTTACATTCTTCAATAGTTATCATCAAAAATACTTGTGAATTCTTAGAGACTCGTTCAAGGACAAGTCCACTTGTGCCTTCACTGTAGGTCGAACCAAAGCTTGTACCACATCTAGGACTGTGCCATCGTGATCCAGAAAAGGGACCATAAGAATGTCATTTCATCACATATCAGTTTCAGGTCTCTGGTGTCTACCGAGACTTTTGTTTGTAAGAAATCTCATTCTCAGTTTTGAATATCATAGTGGTTTCTATACCAATTCAAGAGAACATGCTAAAGTATATTGTTAAGCTGCATAACTATCCATATTTTAAATGTAATCATCATGTCAAGAAAATGGGGTATCCTAAAATCATCTTTGCAGTTGAATATTTAAGGTTTGATTTTCAAATTGCTGCAGGTTGGGACAATCGCGCTTGTTCCCTTGACAGGACTCATTACCTTTATCCTTCTCCTTCTTGTTGCAACTATCAATGCCATCGTCGTCTCTCTTCTCATTTCTTTGGCTGTAGCTGGAGGATTCTTGGCTCTTTTCTTTGCTTTAGTTACAGCGACATATATTGGAGCATTATCAGTGGCCATATTTGCTATTTCCACAATAACGTTTTGGACAACAGTGGCTATTGTCATAACTACAGGTAACTGCGCGTTAGTTAAACTTATTCTTTTCTCTTTAACTGCTTAATATTGTTTGCTATTTAAATTGTTATGAATATTTTGATAGGTTTTTTAATTTGAGTAAGGATATAGATTAAACTTTAGCCATAAATTTGACATTAATACATGCTTACATTCTGAACTTTCAGGGCTACACTGCTACATATGTTAGTATTAACCTCAGTCAGAACTCCCTAATCACCTAATGAAAGTTGGAGATAAAAAAACTTTTAGCTCTAACTATAACATGACAATATATTGTCCCCTTTCGCACTGAAATATAATGCAATGCTTAATTTTTTAGCTTCCTGCTGTGGATTTATTGTAAGATTGCTTTTTTATTTTCTCCTTTTTCTGGTCTAACATTGTAAGATTGCTTTTTATTTTCTCCTTTTTTCTGGTCTAACATTAGTATTGCGTGAAAATGAAGGATGGGTTGGATTCTTTTATACTGTATGGTTGGTAACTACAAAGAGCCTTGGATTTGCAAAACACTCGATAAGCGCAAGTGGATCAGCAATTTCAACTTATTCTGCTGCTTGGGGTAGCCGCAACCTTTTACACAAACATTCCGATTAGGAGCTGGTCGTGTGTACAAGATGCATTAAGGTTACATGCGGATTCTACAAAATCGCAAAAGCTTTTTCTATTGACTGAAACATTCCTAAATCCCACTCACTGTTTGGTTTGGATGGCTATGATTATGTTTGTACTTATGAGCTGAGAGCAGTGTTGATACAAAAAATGCTAGTGGTATGTATTGTGTTTCAATTTAGGGTTGAGAAAGCAGTGGCTTTTCTTTGTTAGCCCATGTTATTACCTTGAGTATCGTACAATGATAAGAAGAGTTCTACAATTATAATTCTAAGATCTAAGGTTACCAAAAGAGTATGCAACAATTAGAAGAAGATAATAGAAATGACTATATTTCATTCATCTCCTCCACTCTAGACATAATAGTGCTTAAATACAAATAAAAATCAGATCTAAGAAATAATTCAGCTGGGCCTGCCCACAAACATCCATTTAGGCCGACTCTTTTTCCTAATGGGTCTGTTATCATACAACCTCCTAATGCATACATGAAATTGCATTTGCTGTGTATCTACCTGTCACTTAACATGTAACAAAACATGTGATTATAACCTTTAATAGAATTTCGACAATATCAGGGTATGCACCTTTGTGAAAAATTAATGCTTCTAAAATTTGGAATTTAATCTCCGGATGCATCAAAATGCAATCAAATATGTCTTGTAATTTTTTCAGAAGTTAACTTTTGGAATCTTTTTTGTTATCCTATGCCAGAAACACTTGCAGAAATGGGAAGAATAATATAAAGTAATATAAATGTTTGCTAAAACATACATAAAATAATTAACATGTATAGATTTTCGATAACTTAAATTTAACATTAATCATGATGAGATGGTTGAGGACGTTTTAATATCTTTAGAATATCATTATTTGAATTTGCAATCATTGTATCTATCTTGATTAGACCGTTTATTTCGTAACGATGAAATGTATTTCACATAATTTTTAAATCTTCATTCGTCATTAGCTTACATTTTTTGAATTGTATTTCTTTCTTTGTCGTTAATTGAGGGTGAACGATAATTGAGTTTCACAACTCTTCGATTATCTGGGTATTACGTGAAATTTTCTAGTGTGGTTTTCAAATTGACGGGACGAGTTATTTTTGTGAACCTAAATTCAAGAGATAGACTTTCGACGTTGAAATATACAAATGTGAGACATGAATATTGAGACATTGTGGTGTTTTAATTAACAACATTAGGAACACCCATAGTTATGAAAGTTTTAAATCAATAATGACTTCATAAACTCAATCCTATCTCAGGAGATATTCCAAAATTTAACTTCTGAAATTACCTTTTTACGTTTAGAAAAACACAAAAAAAATTGTCCAGAACTTAAATTCTAAATTAACCATTGTTAGTAGTTGTTTTGCAAAAAGAAACTATTTGACAAAATGTTTTATTCACAAACATTTTTTTTCCATTTATATAAGTAACGGGTCATGTGACCTTGGAGACCGCATGGGGAAAAGGCGCAGACACAAAAACAATTGATGTCAGCTACCTTATTATGCACGCCTTTTTGTCATATAACATCATCCTTTGGTGATCCGCCATTAATGCGTTGGAGGCGTTCATTTCCACCCTATACATGGTCCTAAAATATCCATTGCCTAGAGGGTGGGTCTGTACGATCCGAGGATACAAACAGATTGCTCAAGAGTGTTACCAAAGCAGCTTGACGACAGAGAGGGAAAAGCTCACCTTGTTGATGCCCCCTTTCTGAAGTTTCGAGCAATGGCCTCGAGGGTTGGATTTCAGATTGGGCATCGAGGCCAAAAGACTCACACCCCAGAAGACTTGAAAGAGGTATAAATAGGCTATTTCGCCCATCATATCACAAAGATAGTGTCGCGGTGTAAAAAAATACTTGAGCGTAATAAACGCTCAAAATACAATAGAGTCACCACCGAATATTCATTTCAAAAGTAAAGAAAAAATATTGATAAAACCCTAAAAGAAAATGAAAATGGTCATCACAGACAAATCTGGGTGGTTCAGGAGTTGGTTATGCGATGGGAAGATATTAACACCTCTCATATTCGCTGTACTCAACGAGAATCATTTAGTTAGTTCGCGAATAAGAGTGTTAGCACGATGTTATTTGTTTTCTTCTAATTATTATTATATGAAAGGAAAAAGGAAATGACTAAAAATAAGTTTTTTTATTAGGGTGCCTAACAAGATTGTGAGTCTTGCTTCTACGTATCCTCAAGTGCCATGAGGAATTCAAAACTACGTAGTTATGGGCAAGAAAAATATATTTTTGAACTTTTTTATTATAATGCTTGACAAGACGTTGAATCTCGCTCATCCTCTGGTGCGATGATAAATTCAAAGCTACGTAGTTCTTTGTAGCAAATGTTTGTTTATTGGTTGATTTTAGCGAACAATGTTTAGCTCGCATTTTAGAGATTAAACGTTGTCTGTATGCTCGTGCTTGAAAGGCATAAGCATTTGTTTGTATCGCAGTAGAATTGATAAAATATCATTCGTTTATGAAAAGTTTAATTTTGATTGCTCTTGGGAAAAAAACGAATTTGATTGGTTGAGTTTGTTATTGGGTGGGTGACGAGTATTCGAAAGGCAAGCTATACACCAAATACTCGGGGAAACTAGGGGTATACACTTAACTAGTCCTTTTTCATCCAAATTAATTATGAAAAGATTGGATATGATTGAAGTCTTTAAAAGATGGAAAGTACTTGAAAGGCAAGCGATACAACATGTATCCACGTACTCAAAGAAAATAGGGGCATGCGCCTAACTAGTCATTTTCATCTGATTTAATTATGAAAAATATTTAATTGAATTTAAGTTTTTTTAAAGATTACAAGTACTTGAAAGGCAAGCTATACAACAGGTATCCAAGTACTCAGTGAAAAGAGAGACATACGCCTAACTAGTCCTTTTTCATCTGATTTAATTATAAAAATGTTTGAAATGATTTAAGTCTTTTGAAGATGCCAAATACTTGAAAGACAAGTTATACATCAGATATTCAAGTGATTGGGAAAAAGAGGGGCATACATCTAACTAGTTATTTTTCGTCCAATTTAGTTGTGAAAAATATTTTTGAAGCATTTTCGATTAAGTTTGCAAAAGACTTGATGTTGATCAAGTGTTTGATTCACATTTTGATTTGATTGAAGTTGATTTGGTGGTGAAATATTTTTGTTTTGTAAATCACTTGATGTTGATAAAATGTTGGAGTTTATCTTGAAAAAGGATTGATTTTATTTGGCATTTTATGATTTTAAATTAACAATTATCAATTAAACAAATAACCAATAAAAATACAAATATAAGATAAAAGGGAAAGGGTGCATTATCAATACAATGGTGGAGTGAGAGTAAAAATCTTAAAAGGGTTTAAGGTCCACTCAAGCAAAAAAAAAAGAAAAAGAATGAAAATAAAATAAAACAAACAAGGTAAAATTAGAAAATAATGGGGGTGTGGCACTTATACCATAGGTGTGTGGCGAATTAAAGATACAAAGGGCCCAACAAGGAGGCCCACTCAGTCAATAATAAAGAAAAAAACTAAGGGGGTGTGTGGAGCAATGCAGGGGTGCGGTGAGCAGCCGGTGTGGGCTCCACTCCCACTTCATCTCTTACTAGAAAAATAAATAAATAAATAAAATACCACTCCCACTTCATCTCTTACTAGAAAAATAAATAAATAAATAAAATAAAATAATCATGGTCAATCATGTTAGTGGTGGCAAAATGGGTCGCCCGCCCCATCCCGCCTTAAGCCTGCAAAAAAAAGGCGGGACGGACAAGTAGAAATGGGTATAAAAATCAAGCTCGTCCCACCAAGGTGGCGGGTTGGCCGGCGACAGGCTTGCCCGCCTACTTTTCTATTATTTTTTCATATTTTTTAATAGAATAATAGACTTGTTTGCCCGCCTACTTTTCTATTATTTTTTCATATTTTTTAATAGAATAATAGACTTGTTTTTACATTTCAATTAGACTTTTTACTTATTTTTTAGAACAAATTTTATAAAGTATTTTTTTAACAAATTTTACCTCAAAAAATATTGCATATATTCTCAAATAAATATATAAAATAAAACCATCAAAAATTGAAATTACTATAATTAACTAAAAAATGGTGGAACAAGCTGAAAGAATAGGTGCGAAGGGCTTTCCTGGTACAGCGAGTTTTGACGGGGCAAACTTTGGCGAATGACTGTCTTTAGCGGGGCGGACTTTGGTGGACGGCAGACCCAAAATCCTAACTCAACCTGCCACTTTTTGACAGGTGTGCGGGCCGGCCCGACGAACTACGACCCGTTTTTCCACCCCTAAGTCACTTGCTGACAGATGGACATTCTTTTTAATAAAACTATAAAAAAAAAATAAAAAAAAATAAAAAAAATTAAAAAAAAAAAAAGAAAGCAAACAAATTGGTCCGACGGCTCAGATGGAATCTAAAAAATCACTCATCTCCTTCCTCCTCTATCAAACCTAATTATGAATAAGAGAAAATCGTTTGTAATTGTAAAATTAATATTGTAAAATTAATACATAATAAATTTGAACTTTAGATTAGTATAAAATAAGTGAAGTTTGAATTACAACATACAGCAGTTTAATTTGATTTATTTTGGTTTGCAAAATAAAAACTACAAATGAAACTATACAATTATTAAAAAAATAAACCAAACACATGCAAATTAAAAATAGTTTTTGGCAATTTCAATTAACTTGATTCATTTCAAAATAAAAACTACAAAACTATGCAATTTTGTTAAAAAATAAACCAAACACATGCAAATTAAAATTAAAAGCAGTTTTTGGCAATTTCAATTTGATTTAATTTCATTTGCAGTTTTTTATTAGATTAGTTCGATTTTAAACTTTAATCACCCATGGTTCCTTTTTTTATTAGTTTTTTATTAGATTAGTTCGATTTTAAACTTTAATCACCCATGGTTCCTAGCACTCCTCGTCTTCCTAATATTAATTATTTAGACGCTTGATTTTAGCTGTCTACTCTTAAAAGACAAAAGGAAACCCACAAGTATTCAGATTATATTGTTGATATATACTTAAATTTTGTCAGATTATATGATTGACACATACTTAAATATTGTACAAAGAGCTTGGCCATCAGTTCTTTGGTTATAAAAAATTTCTTTATAATATATTTTTATATCAAATAAAAATTTATATTTGGTGGTGATTTAAATCTAAGAAGAATTTTCTCTATGATTTGAACTTTTGTTTTAGGCATTTATCCACTTGATGCTTATCAATTTCTTTGTTGTGTCACAATGAAATTGTCAATTTCTAAACATGCAAAAAAGCAGAGAAAAACTTTCATGCAGCTCATGAAAAGACCAGCAATAAAAACACTTGACTCGTTTTGTTAGAGTATATCAGTAGACAATTATAGATGAAATCACCAATTATTTATCCAGTTTTATACTACAAGATAAAATCCTCTCTAGAAAAAGAGATTAAAGGTGTCCTCATACTAGGATGATTCTATTCCTGATAGAACACCTCCTTTTTCTTGGCCTAAGACTTTTTTACAGAATAGACTCTTCCGACTGCTAAACTAAAGGCTGATGCAAGAACAGTTTATCCGTCGGCTGAACTCCTTTAATGGAATCGAGAAGATAAAGGCCTTCAACCAACAAAGATGTCTATGTTGATCTTTTGACTGACCTTCTCACTCTTCCTCTACTCTAACTTTCCATTTGATTCGCTAAATTGTTCCCTCTATTCTTTCACTCAACTAACTTCATACCTTACATGATTCCCAGGAAATCAGTTATACTAACCTAAGTTCTCAAATTGCCAACAATTAAGAGCTTTCCTGGCTTGGTTCAAAAGAAAAAATAAACCAAACCAAATCAACCTGTCGTGACAGTTTAAAAATTAAATCGTGACAGTTTAATACTTTCTTAAATCCAAACTGAGACTGCTATAACTTTTCGGCGAACTGGTTCGGTATTTCAACCCAAACCGACTGAAAGTGTTGGCGCAAAGATCCAAAGACTATTTGAAATTGGATGACTACAATAACAGAATTTGGTAACAATTTGATGCAGTTACCGCAAGGAATCATTTCCTTACTCAACACTTCAAACACTCATCACACTCCCTGTCATTAACTTCAAACACTCATCACCAAACCCTAAACAATTACTACTTTAAATTCAAATTGAGAAAGGGGAAAATAAAAACTACATTTTTTTTCCTACACATTCTTCCCCATTGTTATACTCAGTACATAAATTAAGAGGAACCACTTTCTTTTGCAATCATAATTTCCATTTTATAACTAAAAAGTTACAACTAATAAATTAACAACAACAAAAAATTCATATAACTTACAAAGCGAAACCCTTCAAGTATTCAGGATCACGCTTAGCCTTCTCTTGAAACTTCTTAAACCACCGATCCAAAATATCCATCGGAACAATCAACTTCGATCCATCGACACCGCAAAACGATTGCATAAAATTAAACAAATTCTCGCCAACTTTCATCGCTAACCGTTCAATCCTCTTCTCACCTGCCACATCAAGCGACGGCAACGACGCCAGATCCTCCACAGAAACACCGATTTTCGCCGAAAGCTGTTGAGCATCCGCCGTCAATTGCGGCTGTAAGCTACCGGAACCAGGCTCCGGCCATGGGAGAGATAACACGGCGGAGGGACGAGCGATGGTGACGGCGCCGCAGAAAACGAACGGTGATCCCGGCGATTGGACGTAGACGGCGAGAGCTTTGTCTGGTGGGAGTGTGAAGCTGTTGAGGAGGAAGATGCAGATTTCGGTGACTTGATCGTACGCTTCACCTGCGTAAGATAGAGAGGAGCGGTTAGTTGAAAGTGGAAAATGCTAATGTGCGCATGGAGTGTGGTGTGGGATTAGATAAACTTACCGACGAATGTGTTCATGTCGAGGATCCAATGGAAAGTGTCGATTTGAGCGAAGGTTGAAATGTCCATGGGGAAACTACGGTTTGGAAAAACCACTCCGAACATTTTGATTTTTTATTTGAAATATTCAAATTAAAATTTTGCGTTTTTGTCTGTGTTTCTATGAAACAATTGGTGAAGCAGTGTAGTAAGCAGAGATGTGTTGTGTTATAAGGGTTGTTGTTCTATGGCGAGAAAGAGGAGAGAAATATACTAGAACTTTCTGGATATATGTAAGGATAGATACGTCTTTTTACCTTTGAAAGTAATGTAAACTCCAGAGTCTTTTTTTTTCAAGGCAAAAAAGATTTATTAAACCTCATTCTAATAGACTATTTTTTTAGATTAGGAAAGAAAACCAAAACCAAAAAATGGATGGAGATGACTTCCACATTATTTTGAATATATAGTAATAATAATATTTTATACTGTTTTAAGATTCATTATAACTCACTAGCCAGACTCGTTTGTCTGGTTTTCTTAAGGTATATATGCTTCAACGCATAAATGTATTTTATTGCGGTAACAGGTATATATCTGTTATGATGTTTTTGATATAAAAAGATGTTTTTGATATAGACATTCTAAATCTTATTCAAACACCAAAGCATTCAAAATATAATTTATATTGTGTCATATTATTAATTTTGAATGCTTATTTATATTGAAACTAGTAGAAGATCCGTGCGTCCGCACGGGTATGAGGAAACAAATGAAATATAGTATTAAACATGTTGATAGTTGAATTATATTCAAATGCACATTAAGAGTAGTATTTATGTATGTTTTTTATTCGAATCTAACTTATTGTATCTCGTGTAACTTTATGAAATATTTTTATAAGATTTTAAACATTACAGTAAAAAAATTGAAATATATATTAATCATAATTTTAGACTTTTCATTTTTTAGAGCAATATTTATGCATGATTTCTTATTTGAATCTAATTGATTTTGTCTCGTATCACAACATATTAATATATCCAACCATAACATCATAGATTTCAGAGTGTGGCTTTAGTGTACAATGCAATTTATCAATATCATTAGTATGAACTGCAGGATATTAATTTAACCTAAAAAAATAAAAGAGAGGTTAATATTGATTTATTATTATTTAAACAAATCATGTTTATCACTTTTATATTAAAGACAAACATTTAATACATTAATTTCAATAATAAAATAAGAGTAGAGTATTTTGATTAAATATTAATTAATAAAGTAGTTAAGTAAATAGAGATATATAATTGGAAAATATATCCTCCAATATCTCACAATTCTTAATCTAATAAAAAATGAAAGCCATCATGCCTAGCAATTCCTGAAAATTGATGTTTTAATGCCTAGCATGCCAAGCAATTTAGAAAAATGATCAACATCCAAGAAAAACATGTTTTGTTGTGAATATGAGTTCTCATTATCTGCATGCTCATCAGCTTACTCTTCACCAGCCTTACTTTCAACTTCTACAACATTCTTGGTTCCTGGCCCTATTTCAGCATGGGCAAGTTATGGTATAGTAAGATCACTATGACTTGACGATATAGGTTCATTGGCATCAGAAGGCATAGGTTGTCATGAAAGCTATAGAGAATATACCTCAAATAAGTGCGACAGTCAAAGAAGAACTTCTCCGTAACCAAGATCCTACAGATTACAACAAAATGGCTTAACATAAAATCATATAAATCATCAAAAGTTTCTGTTAAAAACTCATGATATTTTGGATTTCATGCTTCACGTTTTTTTAAGTGGTTATTCGATGAGATGGTACTATATATCTTTATTAAGTATAGAAGGAGGAAGTTATAAATGAGTTCTAAGTTACACCAGCCCTACCTCGAGAGGTATTATTGCAACATTTTTCGGTAAGCGGTAGGATGAATCTATTCCATGTAACATGAGAATCTCCTAGTTACTTTCACTCTATCCGGCAAAAAAAACATAATTATTAATTTAACTATAAAGAGAAATGCAGTTACTTTTAACAACCATTCATTAACCACCTCTGCGAAGACTGAAAGCAACGAAGAGTATATTTCTTGACCTAATGTTCGACTCCATCTAGCACCCTCTTCAACATGATCAATTTTGAAATAATACTTCCATAAAACCTGCAAAATTTATTGTATATGATGAATAACCAGAAGCAAATACTATGATATTTGTTGCGCAATAACTCACTGAGTAATTAGGCTCTCTGCAACACCTATGGAATCATTGTTAAGTAACCTCCTAAAGAAAAAGGTTTTAAAAATATAAGTAATTGGATTGGTAGCATATTGAATGATACACAAAAAAGCAAGGTGCATAACAAACCTATGAATCATTAGCTCCACATGTACGTCTTAGATGTTGTAACCACCCACAGGCATATCTACAAATACAGAAAAATCACTTTGTTTATCTTGTGGAAAAATATGGTATTGGATGGTTCCTGCTAGGACTTTTATGTTGGTGAAACTGTGAAATCGGGACAGGTATTACAGAATATGCAGTTACACCAAGTGAACCAATGCATAAATAAGGTGTTTTCTATTTAGTAAATTACTATTAAGGGCATTTATAAGTGTAATTTAAAAATGATTAAAGGGTAGTTTAGGGTGTTAATGGGCATACTTGAAACACTCGGCGAGCATACTTGAAACATGAATAAGTCAACAATATTGTAAATATGATGTATGATACAGTAAACATAAAAAATGCAGAAAGAATCAAGAATCAAGCTTTACCTCTATTGACACAAAACCACAAGCTCCATAGTGTTGATTGATAATTGAACTTTTGAGTCACAAGTATTGATGTGGATTATCAACATGATAATGTATGTGATTTTCGTTTCTTGTTCTGTCACGACAGGAAGGAGCGTACAAATATTTTTGCGGCACCATTTATACTAAGCCACAACTGTAATCATACTATCATTATTAGATTAACTAATAATTACAAGTTTAATCATAATTTGAATTATTATAGACATGTAATGCAATAAATGTTAAAACAAACATGAAGTTGAATCTAAAGAAGGCAAAAGACCAATTTAACCTTCATTGACGGGAGTTGAGTTGAGTGCTCCATACAAGAACGAGATTGTGTACATTTGTCAAATGTCGTCGTTGAAAGCAGAAGATTTTTTTGAACTATTCTAAAGGAAAATTTAGTCCTCAGTAGCCTAAATATTTATACAGGAAAAGCCATCTACCTTTGTTAAATACAAATGAAGTCGAATTACAACACGATATATTTCGGAAGCAAACTCGTTGTGCAAAATCAAATTCTCAGTAATGTATAAAGAGATGATCAGTGTGTCAGTAAGCAAGACAAAAAGACCTTGTTCTTAGACTTACTGTTCTCACATTGGAAATTCTGCAATTCAGTTCACATATCGCCATTCTGTTCCAGCTCATCGCAGAATCAAGGAAAGTCCTCTCATCTCTGATAACATTTTTCGTTAGTTGCTGAGTCACGCGGGCCCCTTCAACCTCTGTATAATAGTCCTTATTGCAGTTGTCAGCAAACTTATCATTGATAACTTAATGAACCTGCATGGTGAAAAGCTGACACAGCAAGAGCATATTTATGAACCAATTGTTGTCACACAAAAAAAACAAATCCAACTAACTGAAATTCAAAATTAAAAACTAACCAACTTGAATTGTGTTAAACTAATTCAACTGGGATTCTGCAACAACTGACATAATTTTGACTTAACTTTAATTTAACATTGTGCATTGCAATAACCAAAACTCAAGCATGAAAGTTAATAGAAAATTAACAATAGATTACTAATTTCAAGAACTAACTCCTTTGATTTTAAACTATTTGAAGTACATCTAATAACTTACCATTTACACTAACAGATCCAACTAAACATAACAACCATTGACTTCTAGCTCATCATAACTAACTTCAAAGTTTACAAACTAACTGAATCAATTCCAGCCTGGCAATGGTAGCTAAATCGTTCAAAGCTTCTCTAGCAGCTCCATAATTGTAGTTCCCATGTTAAAGTAAAAGCTCTGAAAAATTGAAGAAGGAAATAGAAACTACATTAAATATGCGGTCAACGGAAACACATGATTCAACTAAAACGAAAATGGATTACTCGTAATGCAGAAACTTAAAACAATTGATACTGATGCTTTTTTGAAGCCATAATTTCATGCATCTTTTTCATATTCATAGGATTTCTGAAACCTAACAAAATAGAAAAATCATTAAACGAATCCTGTAACGATTGTTTTAGCTTAGACTTTCAACTACTGTGTGATCCACATCTTGTGATGACCCTTATCATATGAACAACTAAAGCAGAAATAAAAATACATCCAGGTAAAATTAGAAAATATTTATAGAATTTGAGGCTTTAGCCTCTAAAATTGAATTTTAGTCTCGAATTTCTTAAACCCACTTTACATAAATGTTTCCAAGCATAAATAATTTTACATTCAACTCACTTTATACGAAACCAATATTTATAACGACAGAACCAATCAGCTAGTAAGAGAGAACATACTTGAATGAGGGGATACCACAGTATAAGAGATTAATCCAATATAACTCAGTGGGAGTGGGAACAATTGGATCATTAGAAGGGAACCTTAAAGGAATGCTACATGCTTTGTAACTGTCAGTATCAATATCATCTATCAACAAAGAGAATCCTACCAGCTCTGATCTACTACTCTTTATTGCTTCTTCTGAAAAAGGTACAATGCAATTAACAAAAGGCTACAAATAAGTACGACAAAATATTACTTTCAGTGTAGCTTTTTATCAAACAGTATGCATGCATACCTACAAAATGTATCATTATGAATGTAAAGTAATGTAACCATGATAACAACATTAATTGAATTCAGGAAACTATGTTACCTCGTGTTTTGAATTGTGGTATTATATGAACATAATTTGTATTCAAAATGAATACAATGACAAGCACAAATCAGAAATGAAACCATATTCATTGCATAAGACCGAAAAAAATCCCGCAAGAAATAGCAGTCGATAATGATAAGCACCACAACAACAACAACCCCAATAATTATAGCGACATTGCACAA